GGAAATATAACTGGATTTATCTAATGCTGGAGGGGAACTATAGCTGGATTTATCTAATAGGGGAACTATTGCTGGATTTATCTAGGGGAACTATGGGATTTAACTATAGCTGGATTTATCTAATAAGGGGAACTATAGCTGGATTTATCTAATAGGGGAACTATAGCTGGATTTGGATTTATCTAATGGGAGGAACTATTGCTGGATTTATCTGGAATTGGGGGGAACTATAGCTGGATTTAATCGGATGGGGAATGGGAGGAACTATAGCTGGATTTATCTAATGGATGAACTATAGGGATTTATCTAATTGAAAAATACAAACAAACTGGGATGAATTGAAAATATTTAGGAAGTTGAACATAGACTTTAAATTTATTGGGAAACCCTTGTTTGTGACAACAAAATATATATTTAGCCAGAATTTATTATACAAAGTTTGCTCATACAATTGGAAATTGAAATTCTTTGATTATAGTGCACGTTGAGAGAAGTAGAAAGATTGATATGAAAAAAGAAAGGACAAATATTTTTCTGTTGTGTACGGTAATGTAATATGTTTGCGAGGCAGAAAATTATGATTTTATGACATTAGCTGAAGTGACGGAGAAGACTTGTTCACCATCTGTGTGATGACTCTACAGACTGTATCACGATAACGCCCCGGACTGACGGCCATCAGATCAAGCTGGGCTGGTTTAGAAGCTGCAGCGAAATGGGGCAATAAAGATAGGCCATGAAAGTTTTTCTTTGAAAGTTTTTCTTAAATCTTCAGCATATCCATTTTGCAGTGAATATTGAAAAGAGGAACTCAAATTAACATTCTTAGAATTTGGGTATGTTCAACATTTGAAATGATGTCTGTGACGAGATAATGCTGATGTTGTTGATGTACAAATACGGAGTTTCATTTTGACACTAACTAACTGAACAGCTTCCTTATATTCAGACAGAACCACTGTTAACATAAATGTCTAGATATTGAAGAAGGAGCATTTCTGTGGTGTATTTCTCTTGATTCAAATGTAGAAAGATTTATACAGCAGTTACCCTTGTACATAATTCACGGAATCACAAATACCTTGAATAGCGCACACTACATTTGAAACTATTCCTTTGAATATTTATGACATGAAAATATTCCTTGAGTGTTTGATGCACAATCCAATACCTCTCACTGAGCAAACTATATTTCTCTTACTTTAAACATCCCTGAATTGATCCACAAGACACTTCCACTGGCTCGTTGTCAGCTGGTAATTAAACCACAGCCCAGCGATAAACACTTTTATTACCTACTGGCTACACTATCTATAGCACCTCTCACATTGCCTCCACACATGACAATGACAGGCTGCTCTTCCCAAACTGGTTTTGTTGAAAATTTGACCTTGACCTACCAGAGTTCATGCATGCACTCACCATGACCTTTAACCTTTGATATTTACCATATTTACTCGAAAAAATAGACTAGAAATTATTTATTTATTTTTTTAACATTAATGCCTCTGTGTTGTGTTTTGATATATGTTGCATAATGTTTTACCTATGTCAAGGTATGTCAGTTGCTGGTTTCACATAATGGATTTGGACAGTTTCTTGTTCCTGTCTGTCTTATAATGAGGTATGGTTGTCACTTTGTATAGCAAGTGTTAAGCAGGTTGGTTCATACTTAACCCTTTAACTGCTCAGTGAATACATATATCAATGGGATTGTATCCTTTGGACCTTCGGAAATTTTACCAGAGAGAAATATTTTTCTACCTTGGCAAGTTAATTGGTTTGGGTTAAAAAAATGTCAGTAACTAAGAACTTCCCTCTCTGTTCTTTTTTTCGTGTAAACTTTTTTCTTTCTTTTTTTATCTACTCTTTCACCATTTTTATGACCAGTGTTCAGGGAACAGCTCTGCAGATCCTCCCCAACTTAATTGTCTCCATGGTTAGAGGGCTGTGGAGGGACAAAATATCCTGTACATCCTGTGAACATTAGCAGGAAGAATGGATGCAGATACTTCCTAGATACTACCACTGGTGTCAGAGTGATTAAATCTAATGACAGTGTACCATGTACATACAGTCTATCTGATATCTCTAATGAGATACACAATATGCAGGCAGGCCTTGCCAGAATGTCTCCACTCAGTCACCTAGGTTACATTCAAGCTTGGAAATACCTTCCCGTAGTAAGTGTTGGGCTTCGCACAGGTATTTTATTTGATGTTGGTACAGTGATCACCTTCTCTGTCTCACAGTCCCTGAACCTCATTATTTTCCCTACTGCCTAGCCCTCTCTGCAATGCTAAAGCCCTAAATGAAGCAAGTCTAGATTTCCTCAGGTTCAGGTTCTAAATATCCCATCTCACTTGGGCTCCTTTTCAATTTGAATGGAATTATTTCTTACTTTGAAAATGATTTATATTCAGAGACTAAGTGTTAGTCAAAATGATCACCCAGAGACCCCATTTCAATGACATCGGGTCCAACTGTTTATTAGTGAGAGTCACTGTGTACTAATTATCATATGAGCATGTATGTCATGATTTCACTAAACTAGAGTCAGAATTCATATATATCCCAAGTGAGGGTTATGCTTGAATTCCTGTCTGTATTTAATAGAAACAGTGACACACATGCAAGTGTCATTATTTCTTTATCACCATTTCTTCATCCCATTGAGGTCACCTTTAGGATTGTCGAATGAAATTCTTCAGCTTTGACATTTCTAGTGTGATGTCATTACGACATCCACAATAATATTTGAATCCCGTATGATCCTGGTGACCTAAACAATACCTTGATGTACATAAAGTGATATTTCTGTAAACTCTGTTATTTCAAACCATCTATGTGATAAACACTCATATAGACCAGGGTTAATCATTGAGCAAGTCACGGCCAGACTGTAGTAGTCAGTGGTCATGGTGAGGGCTGTGATAACCTGCCTGCTATGAAACCATCTATGTGATAAACACTGATATAGACCAGGGTTAATCATTGAGCAAGTCACGGCCAGACTGTAGTAGTCAGTGGTCATGGTGAGGGCTGTGATAACCTGCCTGCTATGAAACCATGGTGATCTATGTGATAAACACTATGTGATAAACACTGATATAGACCAGGGTTAATATAGACCAGGGTTCAGTGGTCATCATTGAGCAAGTCACGGCCAGACTGTAGTAGTCAGTGGTCATGGTGAGGGCTGTGATAACCTGCCTGCTATGAAACCATCTATGTGATAAACACTGATATAGACCAGGGTTAATCATTGAGCAAGTCACGGCCAGACTGTAGTAGTCAGTGGTCATGGTGAGGGCTGTGATAACCTGCCTGCTATGAAACCATCTATGTGATAAACAGGGTTAATCATTATAGACCAGGGTTTATCATTGAGCAAGTCACGCCAGACTGTAGTAGTCAGTGGTCATGGTGAGTGGCATGGTGAGGGCTGTGATAACCTGTCTACTATGAAACCATCTATGTGATAAACACTCATATAGACCAGGGTTTATCATTGAGCAAGTCACTGCCAGACTGTAGTAGTCAGTGGTCATGGTGAGGGCTGTGATAACCTGCCTGCTATGAAACCATCTATGTGATAAACACTCATATAGACCAGGGTTTATCATTTAGCAAGTCACTGCCAGACTGTAGTAGTCAGTGGTCATGGTGAGGGCTGTGATAACCTGTCTACTATGAAACCTGTCACTATCATTATCTGTGTGGTGTACACCTGTCTCGCATCCCTCTATCTATCCTCTCTGTTGTAGCATAGGATGGCGGACACTTCCCACTCAACATATAAAGGGTTAAGTTTAGTATAAGATACAAAGAACAACTATAACGCTCAACTTTTTTAAGAGATATTCCTGTCATCAAGAGATGCACAATCTGTTTATTCATAACCACCACCCTGCTCCTCATCTTAATGCTAATGTGATCGTAATTCCCATGTATTAACAGAGACTTGACTGTAGTAATGCTAAGATTGCTTTAGAATGGAACCTGGGAAGCTGTTCTGTTCCCCAAGAAATGATTCTATTTCCCTATCAAACACTGAGTAGTATATAATAAGCCCTACCTGTCTAGACATTGCGTGGGTATTGATAAACACTTTCTCCGAAAGAGATACAATCCTTATTACTCACTGTCGTCATTAAAGCTATTGTCAGTGATTATTGATTGACATGTGGTGTATACGTTCAATACTACACCAGTCAGCAAGTGTATATCACTATGGTAAATGTTGAGAAACCTTTAATATCACCATATCATTCCTACTGGTTATGAAAGAAGCATTTACTTAACATTACAGTGTTGTTGAGTGCACATTGGTTGATGAGCTCTGAGTGAGGTTGGTTGTGGGATGTGCTGGGTGGAATGGATATTAAGGAATGAATTTTGTACAGGACTTGTATGTTAATGTGTCCATTGGTTTGGAAAATGGCTGTAATATAAAGCAGGCTATTATTTTTTTATTTTTTTATTTTATTTTTTTTATTTTTTATTTTTTTTTTTTTTTTTTTTATTTAATTTTTTTAATTTTTTTTTTATTTATTTTATTTGTTTATTTGAAACAATTGATGTAAAAGTTCTGAAATAAAGTACTATTTTTGAACAGCATGTTTTCAGTCAAGCAGTAACATTTGGGTAGGTATATCTGAAAAGAACCAAATTTGTCCAGCTGTAGAAATAATCAGATGGTTTTGGTTCAGAGAATATTTGATTGTACTCAAGAATAATTAACTTTACCCAGTTTAAATGTATGCAATTAGCTGTAGAAGAGACAAAAGCAACAGTGAAGCCCATTTCTGGTGTCCCCCGCTGTGATATTGCTGGAACATTGCTAAAAGCGGAGTAAAACTAAACTCACTCACTCACAAAAGCAACAAAAGGCCTCACTCACTCACTGTCATATGACAGCAGTGTACACCTACTGACATCATCTAAGATGTACTACGGTACCCATAACGAGACAAACATACCTGTGTCAACAGGTAGACCACACCTGTCAAGCTGGAAATCCCTATCTGTGTGTGTGTTGTTGTCAGTGTGAACTACCCTGATATAACAGGTGCTTAATGCTGCTGTAGCCTTATGGAGAGACACTGCTGTCCTTATAATGAGGGACAGGTGCTTGTTTACATACCAGGTCCAAGTCCCTGAATGAGACACTCAGTACTTGGAGGACTTTGTACCACAATTGTTTGTGATGCATGATGAATTCCTGAAGAATGCATAAGGAAGTTCTATATTTGTGACACAATTTAATTTGAAAGGATGTTTCAAAGCATACAATTTAATAAGAAAAGAATGTTAAATTCATGAAAAAACAGAGCTGCTTAAGTGGAAGTTTACTCTCAAACTATCATGAGTGTACAAGTACCTCACTCAATACCTGTGTACAGTAATATATTAAGATACTAAGTATGTCACCAAGCACTTGTATACTAACTCCAGTCAACAGAAAATGTAAAAAACTTATTTCATTCAAAACTGAATAAACGTAATGATCTGTTCTGAATGTTCATTTCTATATGGCAAAACTGCATGCCTCCATTCATATACGGTCATGTTCATGGTATGGTTGATGAGTCATGAAGTTTTGACACTGAACTTTTACTGTTAGTAAATCCTCACCTTGATATGGCAGCCAATTTGAAAAAGCTAGCTATGATCATTACTTATATTTCCAGTTTTATGGTATTAATTTTGACTTTGTTTGATGCTTATATTCTCTCAATGTTCATATTTGCTCTGTGGGTGGCAGACTTCAGCATCTATGTTTTTCTTTATGATGTTTGGGAAAACTGTTGATGAGAGCTGCAGTGTCGCGGTTGTCATAGTTATAAGTTATTACCTTGGTAGTGGATACAGTTTGCTAAATTGCATAATATTCCACGCACTGTACCTTCTCATATTGGGTAAAGTGAAACTTGACTTCTGTGTGATTTTTTTATTTTATTTATTTTTTGCTATTTAGATAATATTTCAAGGTTACATCAGAATAAATTGTGTTCATGTCGCATCACTGCACTGAGTGAGTGAGTGAGTGAGTGAGTTTAGTTTTACACTGCTTTTAGCAATATTCCAGCAATATCACAGCAGGGGACACCAGAAAGCATCAAAATTTTGTAAATTTTTACCCCTTATTGATAAATTTAATCATTCTATACAACTCTTCTTTATTGCATCAAGTGGAACTTGTGTTTTATGTTACACTTTAGTTGCAGTTTTAGTTATTTGTATCTATTCCCAGTTTGTATTTCTGTTGGAGGCTGTACTCTGTGCCCAATAGAATCATGTCATGCACCTCTCATATATCCAGGGGGGGTGCGGTAGCCTAGTGGTTAAAGTGTTCGCTCGTCACGCCGAATCCCGGGGTTCGATTCCCCACATGGGTACAATGTGTGAAGCCCATTTCTGGTGTCCCCCGCCATGATACTGCTGGAATATTGCTAAAAGCGACATAAAACTCACTCACTCACTCACTCACTGCGACAAACATAACCCTATGACACGCAATGTGTCATTTCCTGTGTTCACCCGTCACAAGCAATTGTATTGGATTTAAATGCTGCATACATCTGGTGTTTACCCTTGTCCTTGACAAATGGTTAGTCTCTGAAAATATGTGATTTTGATGGAAACAAGCAACTGCATTTGAATTGGAATGGAGCCCCAGTGAGATAGGGGTTTCAGGAAATCTAGATGCATTTAGTTTCTCAAAGTTATTTGTTCCTGTCAAATCATATATTTTCAGAGACTAAGGGTCAGTCTACATTTAGTGCTGCAGCATCACTCACTCACTCACTCACTCACTCACTCACTCACTCACTCACTCACTCACTCACTCACTCACTCACTTATATATCAAAGGATGAATCAAGGTCAGCCATGACAGCTGATGCGTTGAAGAGAAACAAGAGAAAAAGATCATATATTCACAATTTCATAGTGACATAGCTCCTGGTGACAGCATTTTTTGTCCAATGTTAATCTGAAGTGAGTATTTAAGACACCAATGTCTGAATTGAAGATCGTTGTTCATTAATGTTCTTCTGTTATTTCTCTACAGGTCATTCCACCGAACCGGTATCAATAACGAGCGGCAACACATCGCCATTCCCCGTGACGCCGCCAAAAGTCCCCAACACAGCCGCCTCCAGTACGGACCGGATAGACGGGGAAAGGACAGAAGCTGAGGAACCTCCCAGGTAAGGGAGACAACTCCACTTGTGTATAATCTCCATCCATCAGACACTCTGCTCACCACTTCAAACCTTGGGGCTGTGGTTTAATAGGAATCCAGGGATTTGGAAACAGTACGTTTGCCTGGGAGGTTTTGGGTTTGGTCTCAGTAGAATTTGGTTCAATAGAATTGGTTGGGGTGTTTTGGTTTTGTGATCAGTAGACGTTTCTTTGGTGTTTGAGATCTGGGTTCAATAGAATTTGCTGTTGGATTGACTTTGGTTCAACAGAATTGGTTGGGTTATTTGAAGTTTGTGATCAATAGACTTGTCTGTGGTGTTTGAGATCTGGGTTCAATAGAATTGACTGTGGGGTTGATTGGGACTCGGTTACATCGACCAGGGTTTTCATTTGGGTTTACAATGATTGAATGTGGGGTTTAGGATTAAAAAATTGAGTTGTGAGATTTATGGTGTCAGTTCCGTAGAATTGGTCATGAGGTCGGCCGTTTAACGTTCAGAATAATAGGCTGTGGGCTCTGCGATGATTAGAGAATTTGTGACAAGTTAGAGATATGTGATCTGAAGATTGTCAGTTGTGTTTCTTGGATTTTCAATGTTTTCAATTGATCTCTGAATACATCACAATCAGAGTGTTCATCTGCTGTTGCTGTCTGTGACAAATGTTAAGATAGGGAGGGTGTGCGTTCTCTACAGACACATGCAGGATTTGAACAGGTGATTTGTCAAACATTCATTTTGTTTCTACTGTATGGTTTGGTGGCCACCTCAAACTAAAGTACCATACTAAATCAAATACTTCATGACAATTCTTGACCTGAAAATATCTTTTAATATGTGCACCAAATATATTGTTCCTTATGGGAATTAATAAAGTCACGAGACCTCAGTGATGGATTGTGACATTTGATTAGGAATCTATTAACATTTAACTCCAAGACAAGCATTTAATAATTCTACATCAAAGATAATTTTTGTCTGTATTAAGTCTCAAGTCAGAAGTACTCTTTGAAGTCAAAAAGAATTTAAAAAGTGTTTTAATAGAAAACTTTGATTGCTGTTGCAACTTTCTCTGAAGTTACATTATCAAAATATTTATGCTAACGATATTCAGAAAAATTGCCAAGACTCATATTCCATGTGACTTATTGTATCCGAAGTGGCAAAAAAAATGGAAAACTCACGGACTGATGACAGCTTGATAAATATGATAAATGTTAATGAGTCTTTCTGTCGGTACAATATTCCTAAGAGCTGGATAAGTTATTTGGAAACCTGTAAGGTTAGCCGGTTGGCCTTGCAGATAAGGCGTTCACGTATTGAAACAAAAATGGCATTTGATTCCCTTCTTGGGTAAGATGTTCGCCATTCATGCCTTGCCATTTTGTGCGATGTTACTGAAAGAGGTGTAAATAACTCACTCACTCTGTAGACAGATGTCTGTTGGCATGGGGTGTGGAGACTGATGTATGGAGATTATTAATATATTCAGTGAGCTTTTTCTCCGATCTGTTTCCTTCAGGCTGTTATTGCATTCTGTCCTTTGAAAATGTGTTCCATTCTTCAAAATGTCTTTATCTTCACATCTAAATATGCATACTTGGAGGCATTCTACATCTAGACTCTTTATCTCTCCCAGATCATCTACAGTCAAAAAGACCTGTTGATTCGGATGTTTATCAATACTTTATTGTTTGTATTTGCTGAAACAATAATATTTGTAATACATTATTATCTGAAAACCTGTGTCAGAGAAACTTCAGAGAACTTTGTGTTGTTATCTTTAACACTAGCTAGAAGTGTTCCAGTTGGAACTGGATTTGTGTGGATTGTGGTAGATTTAGCATACAAGTTTCCAATAGGTGTCGAGAGATGTTTGACAGTAGTTGTTGTAACAGATATATTTCAGTTTTCTGGTTAATTGTCAAAAACATCAATTTATGGAAGCAGTAAGTGCAAAAACTGTTCTGAGTTTATAAACACTGACTGGGATGGCCTAGTGGTTAAAGTGTTCACCCATGTTTAAGTCCTGGTTCAATTCTGAACATGGATACAATTACGTATTGTTATAATGCTTGAAGTAGTGTAAAACCTACCTCACTCACTCACTCACTCACTCTGTCAATCTGTCTGTGAGTCGTCAACTACTGTCACACTCTCAACTTCAACTCTATTAGAATGTGGGGCAGTGGTTTATCCCGCCGAAGTCCTGGGTTCAATTCCCCGCATGGGTACAACGTGTGAAGCCCATTTCTGGTGTCCCCCGCCGTGATATTGCTGGAATATTGCTAAAAGCGGCATTAAACCATACTCACTCACGCACTCCAGTAGAATGTATCTTGACACTCTGCGCTCCCTCGTTGTTGACTGACCTGTAAGCTGAAGGTATTCTCTGCTAGGTTCTTTCTGTCTGTATGTGTGTACAGTTATCAGCTGTTCTCACACGTGTGTCCAATCAATTGTATTCTATCTGTGATCTGTGTCTCTGCAATGTGTGACTCTTCGTGCAATACTTGTAATCTTGGTTGGCGTTTGTTTTCTAGCAGAGTGCCGATTCCAGGGTGAGTCTAAGTGTTCTTCTAACCAGTGCATTACCTCCCTTGATGTGTGATCATTGACCACAGATGCCCCATATGTGACCTTGGATCACAGATGCCCCACATGTGACCTTGGATCACAGATGCCCCATGTTTGACGTTAGATCACAGATGTCTTCATGTTTGATGTTAGATCACATATGTTCTCATGTTTGACTTTATATCACCAATCCTGACTTGATGTTTGAGTGTTGGTCAAAGACATAGTGTTACAATAATTTGGAGACATTTTATTATCATCTTAGACCACAGAATTATCTAATATGTTTGACATAAATTGCAGAATTATCTAATATGTTTGACATAAATTGCAGAATTATCTAATATGTTTGACATAAATTGCAGAATTATCTAATATGTTTGACATAAATTGCAGAATTATCTAATGTGTTAGACTTAGATTGTAGATAAAATCTAACATGTTATATGTAGATCACAGAATTATCTGAAAGTTTAATCCCAAATATAACATATGTTACATAAAACCAGTTGGGAAATTCAGAATATTTTAACCTCTCAAAATCTATAGTTCGTCATTTTGAAACTGATATGTTGATGTGTTTTTTAAAGAATTATATAAAATAATGTGTAGTCTGATAGATATGGTTGGCTGCAGATACTTGTGTTGGGAATTGAAACCTGCATGTTCTACTTTACACTATTTTGATTAAGCAGACGAAAAGATACTAGAGTATAGATTGTTTCTCCAAATCCATTAGGACGATCTGAAGCTAGGCACAGGAATTTTGCCCAGATTGCTGGCTGTAAGAGGCAACTAACTGGATTTGGTGGTGATACTTGGTGACGCTGTTGATGATGTGATCGTTCACTGACAGTGTGGATCTTTCACGATATCGATCACCAGATTGTGTGGTCCAAAGTGTATTATTTAGTGGCTGACGTCATACAGCTGGAATATTGCTGAATGTTGCCTTAAACAACAAACCATCTTTGAATGCAGCCAGTGTGCAAAATAGTTTCCAAATTTTGCTAGGCAGTCCGGCTTGCTATGCCTGAAAGTTACTAGCCCACAAAATAATTCACTAGCCCGAAATTTGAACGTAGAAAACAAAAGATTACAAAAATACATGGTGATGAGAATAAGATATTGTCGATATGATACGGTTTTCATCATTAAGCTACTAATATGATGAGCATTTTCATCAGGCCATAATCTTGAAAGATTTAAAAGTGTGTTATAACTTATATTTACAAAATGACCCCATGAAAATTCACGAGCCAGTCGGGAAAGTGACTGTGGAGAATAACTGGCCTGACTGGATTTTTACTAGCCACAGGCTAGCGAGCTAGTGGCTTTTTCACACACTGAATGCAGCCTCTACGTCTCAGGTAGTTAGTTTGAAGAGACATGCCCGTGCATGATTGTGCTGAAAGTCTATAATATCTACTGCATGTTAGGACTACAAAATAGTCAAATTTGGGATGGATCTTAATATTTCTGTAGACTTTATTTCATTCTAAACGTATAGTTTCAAATTGAAATATGATACTTCTGAAAATTAAAACTCAACAGGATTGTTCTACTAACCCAAAGTTTGCACTCCTAAATGTTTGGTTCATAAAAATTTGTTGATTGTTACTTACCACTAACTCACCTAGTTCACTGCGGGAATTTGAAACTGGTTTCTGGAGGTAGCTCTAAGCTTCTCTATCTATTTCCTATGTATGTGTCCCGTGAAGATCCGGGGTAGAATAGGTCTTTAGCAACCCATGCTTGCCACAAAAGGCAACTATGCTTGTCGTAAGAGGCGACTAATGGGATCGGGTGGTCAGGCTCGCTGACTTGGTGAACACATGTCATCGGTTCCCAAATGTGCAGATCGATGCTCATGCTGTTGATCACTGGATTGTCTGGTCCAGACTCGATTATTTACAGATCGCCGCCATGTAACTGGAATATTGCTGAGTGTGGCGTAAAACTCACTCACTCACTCACTCTTCTGTATGTGTCCAATGTTGAAGTTATGAATAATTATTATCAAGAACAAAAGCTGCTACAAACCGAAGGGTTGGTTATACATGTAAAAGTAATTTTCTGAGATCATTTGATGTGAACCTGAGTTTAGTTCCCAGCAACTTGTGGTTGTCACAACAGGCAAGTTTAATCACAGGCCTCGATTTAAGAGATGTTAACCTACTTGCACCAGGTGCAACCTAAGATAAAAACCTCCATTTGCACTGCTTTTATTGCAATTTGTAATGAAAGAAATATGCCATTGAATTATTTCGATGTTTTATTCAGATGTTTACCCACTCAAAAATTGACTTGCGCCAGGTGCAAGTTAGACTCATAACTAGGTTGCACTTTGTAATGTTGGGTTGCACCAGTGCAAGTAACAAAGCACTAAATCAGGGGAATCAGGTGGTCAAACTGTGACATTTGGTTGACTCGGAGTTATCTCATGGATTAATGGTCATGATGTCAATCACTGGATTGTCAGCTCCAGAGTCCATTATATACAGATGACTGTCATACAGCTGGAATATTGCTGAGTGTGGTGTAATAACAAACAAACCACAGCAATGCCATAGATCATGTTACAAGGCAACATTTAGTGTTCGATTTACGTGATTGTGACCTTTATGGGTGAAAGTTACAGATGTTTTACAAAGATCTAATAATAACTACATCAACAAACCACCAGAAACAGCGATAGATCAGATGAGAGAAATGATTGCTGTAACTGACTGAATGAAACTTGATCAAATGAAAGACAGAAAACACCCCACCATAGCTTTCAGGAAAATGTTTACACTTTGTTCCAAAATCTATTTGAATGTTGCATAACCATATGCAGGTTGAAGATTTCTTCACCTCCCAAAAATAACCAGTACCAGTAAATTAAACTTTCTGATTCCTGACACTGTGTACCAAATAACCCTGTTAACATGAACAGTAACTACAGACTCTGAGCATGTCAGGGGTCCCTGATGTGTAGGCCCAGGAGTTTGATGCATGACCTGTCCGAGATGAGGCTTTGTTCCCAGACCCCCTCCTTCTGCACCTGCATCCATGTTTGTTGTGAACTTGTAGATGTTGTAGGTAGTCGTTGTCATGTCAGTTTCGTTCACTACAACAGGTTCCCCACAACAGGTGCCAACAACAGGAGCCCACGATGGGGTCCACAACAGGTGCCTACAATGGGTGCCCACAACTGGTGCCCACAACGGGGTCCACAAAAGAGGGCGTTCCCAAAACAGGGTGCCCACAGCTGAGGGCCCAGTAATCTATGATAGCCAAACTGGATAGATTGCTCTCTGTATCAGTCACTAGTTTGTCTGATCCAGACTCCACCAGTTACTCTGTGACAACTGTAACATTTCTGAATGCAGTGTTGTATAACAACCATGGATCGAGTACGGGTACAGCAGTGAAGTGTCATCAGCTGGCCATTTCAGCTGGTTCCCTGCTTATTTGTGACGTCATTTCGACTTTACTACGTCACAATATGATTTGAATGACGTCACCACCGCTGACGGCGCAACAATACAGTGGTGTGTGCGATATTTGTACGTGTCAATACGCAGTGAATAGTCTTGCAATTTCCGGGAATCAAATACCATTCGATCATGTTTTTCAAACAATCAGATTAAAGAACACGGTGACTTTTGGTATACAATGTTGTATAACAACCATGGATCGACAGATCTAAGGTGTAAGATTCAAGATGTGAAGGATGTGGTTGTTGTCTGTAAATTGTTTGCTGTACACCAACAAGATACATTATGCTTATTCAGCCTCTATATACCAGTCACCATGTGTTTTGCATCCTTTCCAGTTGAGATAGTTCCTACATTTATTTGATGTCGGTGTCCACGACTTGACTGTCGAAAGTGAACCCTTTCTCAGAATAGATCTTTTTGTTTCAAAATTTTAGAGGGGTGGTGGGTAGCTTAGTGGTTAAAGCGTTGCGCTCGTCATGCCGAAGACCCAAGTTCGATTCCTCACATGGGTACAATGTGTGAAGCCAAATGTGGTGTCCCCCGCCGTGATATTGCTGGAATATTGCTAAAAGCGGCGTAAAACCCAACTTACTCACTCAAAATTTAAGTGAATTAACAAAAAGGTTGATAGTCTCTGGTTTTAATCTTAATAACTCATACACTGATGGTTTGTTGACTGTTTATAAAGGAGAGCTTCCTGAATAAAGGGAGGTAACTCCGTGGAGCCTGGCTGCCTGTAGACCAATATTGGCCTGTATGGGCAAGAATTCATGGAATTAGTTGTGACATTTTCTCTTTGTTGTGGTAATTCTTCTCATCTCGGAACAAATTGGCTGAGGTATGAAAGAAAGATCACTAGATAGTTGTGATTCCTGAGCAGAAATATACCCTCACTGGGATCACATGAAGTCAACTGTGGCTCATCTACTGACTGCTCCTACAACCGTGACATTCCGTCAAGTAAACAGAGACTGTGGTTTTACTTTTGTTGCCTTATTGTTTGTTTACACCAATACTAGAGAAGCATCTGGTATGTTGCTATTAACACAGTAATTTTACCAAAGTAAATCACTAATTAGGAGAACCAGTGTTACAAGGTTGGGTCTAAGGAAATCTGGGGAAGGTCACAAAAAACTATGACAGTCACTAGAGGAGAGTCTTAAACAATTGTGCTCATATTTGGGGAGGATCAAGATAAACTGAACATTTTATTGGAAAGTATAAAGTGCATTGGTATTTTGTACGAAAAAATGGAAAGTGAGATGATGAGGTCATATGAACACATGACACATTAGGGGAGCATCATTAGAATGTCAAAAAGCTCTTGCTCACCTTTCCCTGTAATAACCTCTAGTTTTCAAAACTTTTATGCAGTGATTAAGGTAAGGAACATATTGATTCGTAGCTGAATAATTTCAACATTCCAGAGTAAGTGATTGATATGTTACAGTTTTGTCGGAGAGGCGAGATTGGTGGTTACTGCAATCTCAGTTGGAGCA